TCTTTGGACACTATCGAATGGAGGAAGTGGGTTCACATACACACGTTATTCATTATTCCTTGTGTATGTGGGCGCCTGAGTCTTGTATTAAATGTGTGATATACTGTATGCTCCACAGTGTGCTCCTCCAGGCTGCCTCATTGAACTTTGCATCCAGCTCAGCATGATCATGCTTGGCAAGCAACTAATTCAAAATAACGTCTTTGAGGTCCTCATACCGTATGTGTTTTTTTTATTCACCAAAGTTTTGCCTCATGATGTATTTGCTGTGACTCTATCATTGATGTGTCTTTGTACTTGGTTTTGCAGTAAGCTGAAAAAGATGTACAGAACAATACAGGAGGAAAAAGGAAAGAAAAGAGCAGCAGACGATGAGGACAATGAAACAGAAGAGAGGAGACCAAAACAACAGTTTGACAAAGATTTCACTCTTGAACCATTTGAGGGTGTCACCCCAGAGTACATGGAGATGAGTGAGTCTCTCTCCGTCTCTTGATTCAGTCGCTCAACTGCTCCTGGAGTCAAACGGTGTGTCTTCAACCCTCTCTGTGTGTACCTGTTTGTATGTGCAGTAATCCAGTACGGGTTCGTGTCTCTGTTCGTGGCCTCCTTCCCGCTGGCACCAGCGTTTGCCCTGCTCAACAACGTCATCGAGATTCGCCTCGACGCTGCAAAATTCGTCACTGAGATCCGGCGGCCCGATGCTGTGAGGTGTAAAGACATAGGTACAGATCACACATGTGACATCACTTCTTTGTCTCTGTCAGTATCTGTGTGAAATCTGAAATACCTAAACTGTCCTGTGACTTTTAATCTCTTTCTTTTTCTTTACTCCACTCTGCCCCTTTTTTTGTCTGTCCGCCTGTCTGTCTGTCTGTCTGTCTGTCTGTCTGTCTTTCTTCCTGCCTGTCACACACATGGACGCACACACTTTCCTCTCTCTTTTAATGCACATGCTTACTCCAGGGATTTGGTACAACATTCTCTGCGGAATCAGCAAGTTCTCTGTCATTACCAATGTAAGTGTGTGTGTGTGTGTGTGTGTGTGTGTGTGTGTGTGTGTGTGTGTGTGTGTGTGTGTGTGTGTATTGACATGAGATTGCTTCAGGAGGTAAAGGGGGTGGGGTGTTCTACCAACATGAAGACCAGTGGTTTGATTCCCACAACATACCGAACGTGTGAAAAAGAGTGCTGTGTATGAATGTGTATTTGTGCATGAATGTGCCTCCACATGTAAATAAATGTTAATAAATGCATTCATTCATTTTTCTTACATTATCAAATACATTTTGTATCTTTTCTTTTTCATTGCAACCCAGTTACTTTTTGAACAGCCTCATGTGCTCAGTGTGCCTGGCAGGGTTTTTGTTTACAATCGTTTTTTTTACTTTAGTATCTCTAATTAAAACGTGTGTACTAAAGACAAGTAACAAATGTGTTGAATGTATTTGCATCGTCATAAAACATTTGCAAACTAATGTTAATTAATTTCCATTAATGAAATTGCAGTCATGTCTTCTTCCTGTCCCTCTTTGAGCCATTACTGCACTATATTGAAAATGATCAGTGGTACAACAGTATCACAAGAGAGATGGAGAGAGATCAAGTCATTTTGAACTCTACGTGAGCACATGGTTATGTGTTATATATGTGATACTACAGTGCTGTTAATCCCATCGTCTGTTTGTCTCCTCAGGCTTTTGTCATCTCCTTCACGTCAGAGTTTGTTCCACGAATTGTTTACCAGTACATGTACAGTGTGAACGGCACCATGAGCGGCTACACCGAGCACTCCCTGTCCTACTTTAATGTCAGCAACTTCCCAGTGGGCACCGCACCCACCACCACCCTTATCTCCGGAGTCTCCATGTGCAGGTGACTTTCTTAACCTTGACCTGCCTGGAGCTTCTTGTAAGCAGCAGCTTAACTCTTACTTTACCTAAATCCCAAACTTGTCTGGAGTTTTCATGGCTTTCTAAGATTTAGAAAGAAAGATTTTTGTTTAATCATCTTAGTTCATGTTGACCTTTAGGTGCCTCCTCACTAATACCCAGACTGTTGTGTTTTTCAGGTATAAGGACTACAGAGACCCACCGTGGGCACCAGACGCCTACACCTTCTCAAAGCAGTACTGGTCTGTCCTGGCAGCAAAACTAGCCTTTGTAATATTCTTCCAGGTACGAAAAATTATATTATACAATGTTGGTTGTTTGAAAATAGTGGTGGTGTCAGATCCCTGAGTCTTTCTTGAAAAAAAACCTTTGCCCATTTGCTGTGTGTCTTTCTTCAGTAGTTTAAACCTCTAATATCTCTGTAAACAAATCATATACCATGTATAAAGATGGGAGACACATTCAGAATCAGGTCTGAACAGGGCCAAAGTGAATTCGTAATCTATTTTCCCTCTTATACAGCCAATTGTACTTATTAAACCTAGAAATGTAAAACCAAATCGAATTTGTAACTGACCTTATCTTTTTCCCTACAGAACCTCGCTATGTTCCTCAGCATGTTGGTCGCCTGGATGATCCCAGACGTGCCGCGCTCTCTGAGGGAACAGCTGAAGAAAGAGAACATGATGCTGATGGAGTTTCTGCTGAATCAAGACCAGGAAGCAAGTGCCAAATCCCATATCCCCAAACGCTCCATCCCCTGCTTCCCCACCAATGTAGACATTGTGGTGGAGGCGCCACTAGAAGAGCAAGAGGAGGAGAAGGAGGAGGAGGAGGAGGAGGAAGAAACGGTGGCGGTAAATGTGGAGGAACCCAGAGCGAGGAGTGACAGTTATCCAGAGTTTGGGGAGACGTTCATAGAAGTTGAAGAAAATAGACAAATAGAGCGCGAAGGTGAAGCAGTGGATGACGGAGGAGAGATGGATGTGGGAGGAAAGGATGATGATGGTGAACGAAATGAGGAGGGTGGAAAGGGAGATGATGAGCAAGAGGAGGTGGAGGAAAAAGAAGAAGAGAAGAATGAGATGAAGGAAGATGAGATGAAGGAAGATGAGATGAAGGAAGATGAAATGAAGGAAGATGAGATGAATTTTAGCGTTGATCTGGACACCATCATGAGCGATCTGGGGCTGTTAGGTGAGAGGATGACTGTTACATTTGCTCTCCATTTTGACAAGAGTTGTCTCATTTATGTCTTGACTCTAATTCTTCTTCTTTTCTTATCATGTAGATGAGGAACCCTCTACAAGCAAAGCTATGAATACAGGGTTTCCTCATTCAGCCTCCAAACAGGAATACCAGAGGGAGCAGGAGCCTCCGTCACATCCGCCATCTCAAAGAGGCTCCTCTGAGAGTGTGAAGGGCTCCCATGCTGATGTTACAACACCAGATATGAACACGCCGCTCTTCTCACTGATCGCTCCTCCTCCCAGAGAGCCAGGCACACGGGTGAAGGCTCGTTGCTCCACCCTGCCTTCCCGTCACACAGGGGCCGAGGCTTGTTACAGCCTGCCTCGGCCCAGTCACTCCACCAGCCTCACCAGGTTCCAGCCGGCAGCCTCACTCACTCCTCTGATTTCCCTGCAGAAGTCGTCGCTGTCGGCTTTGTCCAGCCCTTTCTCTCCCCCGTGCACACCAGTGTCACCTTCACCCACACAGGCCCCATCAGTCAACTCTGAGTCCCCACAGCCCACAGCCCCCAGCGAACTGTTTGTACTGAAGGGCCCTCCACCCCAAATGCCACGCTCCAGGGGCAAAGCCCGGTGCTCCACCCTGCCGCCGCGACAAAGAGCCCCCGGTCCTGAGGAGCACTCCACCAAGCCTAGCCACTCCACCAGCTTCACGAAGCTGGGAGACCGCATCCCCCCCTCCCCCAGTGAACTGAAGCGCAACTCGCTGGTATGAGGAGAGCTTGAAGGCGAATAGAAGGGACAGAGGGTGACAGAGGGAGGGGGAGGGCTATCCAGATTAGCCTCTCCTATCTGTGCCTCACCCCCGAAGAGAGACCATCCAGATTTACTGAACCTCCTTTCTATCCTCTTAATGTTCACAGAGATGTTCACACCGCTCAGTGGTTTAGGGCTGATCCTGACAAGGGAGGTGCTGGACAATTCAGACAAAGACTGCTCTGAAACTCCCCTTGCCATGCCCGAAGAGAACACCTCTTCAACATGAATTCTTTTTATTCTTTTCTTTATTTCTGGGTGATTTGTTTTTACCCACAGCTCACTAGCCACAGCTCTGTTACCTATACATGCAGCAGTGCTGCCGTGTAGCCCAGAGGAAGACGGAAATGTATACGGCACAGTTAGTCTCACAAAGTATGCTTGTAGATCTACTGTTTATTTTTAGAGGTTTTGATATAAAATTATAATAAAAGAAGGACATATTTTTGATATCTGATTTTCATTTTGAACTCTCAAAACTAAGCGGATGGTACACCTGCATCGTGTAGACAGAATAGTAGAAAACTGTAAAATGAATTTATGGAAGTTAAAGAAATAATCCATATCATATGGTGTGACAAAGTAACATCAATGTCCAGATATTTAGATATGACAACGCAACAATGAGAAACACAACAACAATATCACAACTTTTATAACGTGTCAGTAGTAAATCTTGACTGGGAGATTTAACAGCCTGTTGTGTTGTCTCTGTTGCCCCCCTCTGGTTTGTGGTAAACCATCACACGGTATTGAGTGATATATTTAAACATGGATGCTCAGTGATGTGTTGGTCTAAGTTTGTATCCATGTGAAACGTCACATTTCTGCTACAAAATCACTAAGAAGGAGAGAGAAAACAATTTATCACAGAAAATTTAATTTTTCCATAGAAACTGAGCAGGGAGATAGTTGTATATTTATGAGATACGTATTTTTATATTTGTTTCCATTTATGCAAAGTGGTGCTTTACTCTCTTTTTGTGCAAAAAGTCCCCTTTTTCTGCTGTATCCATAACTGGCTCCTCCTCCGCCCCCTCCTGCCCCACCAGTGAATGGGGCCTTTGTTGGGGGCTTCCCAGCATTCCAAGGGAATCCATGCAGGTGAGGGTATGCAAACAATCCCCACACTGGGATGACTGCAGCAGCATTTACAACTCCAAATGCAAAACGAAGCTCAGACTGTGAGAGCAGTCAGGAGGTTCCAGTGCTCAGCCATAACCTAACCTTTGAGGACGTGCTGCGACTGCAAGGGTGTGATCAGCGGAGCAGACAGAGTGGGAGGGCAGGATCCTATTCTCTCTGAAATAGGTGAGCAGCCACACAAATGCTCCAGAATCAACACACTCACTGGAGCCTGAATGAGGAATGCATTAGCTCACGAGTAAATATTTGCTTTAATTTTGAATCTTCAAACTATTGTCAGTCCTTTTAAAAAAGGACTCAACAAAAGCTGTAACCGTGGATTAACAGGATCTAACAGGGCTGTTATCTCTTATGGATAAGTGTATTGTATGTAGTGCATAAGTAACAGACTTAGATAGGAGCCTGGAAAACGCACTGTGGATACACTGAAGGTGAGTGTGTTTGTATACATGGCATGTGAACACATTTACTCCCCATGATATATGCTCCAAAAGGATTTACAGAAAGGGATGTAATCAGTCAGAGTAAAACAGACAGGTCTGCTTTGGTTTTACACCAGATTTTATTTCAGCTTCATGTGGATTTTCTCACACTCCCTCTTCTCGTGTGTCCCAGCGTCGCTCTCTTCTGTTGGAACTCGTCAACACAACACTGCCTGCAGGTATGAGTGCTCCTTTTCCCATGCTGGCTTAGAGTTTCAGATACAAACTACACTGACATACTGGTCTCACTGAGCGAATCAAACAATGGCAGTAAATATCTCTTAATAATTCATGTTTATCTTGAAAGGGGTTTCCTTACGGCTCAGATAACATGTCTTTTTATCTTTGTGCTGTTATGGGCAGAGTCCACGAGAAGAAGGACGGTACTTCTCTCTAATCTCTGTCTTCTTGAATTGCTCCTCACTTGTCTTTATCTTTCTTCCTCTTTGATATCGACTTTTGCTCTCCATCTCCAAATTGTTCACTTCTTTCTTGACCACATGCTCAGATAGCAGTTGCACTGGGAGGTTGGGAGACATGGTGGTAACAACTGAAGAATTGGCATCGCACATTCAAGTGGTGCATATTTGGCTGTAAATCCTCATTGGACACAGCTCTAGCTGCTTCATCATGCCGGCCTGTGTCCAATGTGAATGATACATTTTATTAGAAAGGGGTTTGACTGCTACAGAGTCACAAAAACTTTGTCCAGCAGAAACTGTTTTTTGAAGTGAATGGGAAGAAATCTTAAATTTTATCTCAATCTCATTTTAGAGAAAATGTGACTTTCCATAAAGCGAAAAGAAACCCACGTATTTAAATATAAAGTTCACTTGTTTGTGAATATCCATGAATTATATTGAATTTAATAAGAATACATTAATACAATTGTCAAATAAATAACAATAAGAAAAACATATTTTTATTAATGTATTAAAATAATTGATCAAATGGAAATATCTAATACCTGAATCCTGATTGTTTTGCATCACAGTTGTAAAAATTAATACATGTCCGTGGATGTGTTTCAAGTTTGCCAGCAGCATGTTGCAGACTGTCGGTGAGTGGCTGTGGTGGGAGCGTCTGTGGCTGCCAGCAAACGTCTCCTGGTCGGATCTGGAGGACAGTGAAGGTCGTGTCTACGCTAAAGCCTCTCAACTTTATGCAGCTCTGCCCTGCGCCCTCTGCCTGCTTCTAGTCAGATACATGTTTGAAAGGTAAGATTATACTGTGCTCGTTGTGTGAGCTGGTTTCAAAACATTGGGATTTAAGTTGCACAAGCTGCTTGTAGCAATGTTGGTTGCCAAAGAAACACGTCTGTTGTTATGTCAGATGTACTTATATAACATTACTGTAATGTTACGTGTGTGTGTGTGGTGTCACAGGTATCTGGCCACACCACTGGCTAATGTTTGGGGGATCAGGGACAGGATACGTCAGACAGCAGAACCAAACCTCATCCTAGAAAACTACTTCTGCCGCCAAGCACAGGTTCCATCACAGGTTTGTTGAAGGGCCTCTCCAATGGAAAGTCCTGTTCACACACACATATGTGTACTACTAAGGTACTAATACTTGCAGCAGTGTAACACAAGGAATCATGCAGATGTGGGTGAGGAGCTTGAGATAATGGATCACATCAACCTTCTGAATGGGGACAAAATAATGTGATATCAGTGACTTTGACCATGACATGTTTGTTCCAGACAGTTTTGAGGTTTGGTTTGAGAATTTCTGAAAGGGCTGATCTAGGATTTCTAATCTTCACAGAGTTTTCTCAGAATGGATCCAAAAAATAAAAGAAATATCCACTCAGAAAAACAACCAGACTGGTTGTAGCTGTAAGAAAAACTAGAGTACTTCAGATAACCCCTCTATCAAACAGGTGAACTGAAGAGCATCTTAGAAAACAACAGTCGGAGACTAGATGGAGTTTCAATCCTACCAGGAAGAAGCTGCAGTGCACGGTCACAGTCTCACCAGTTGAAGACGGGAAAAACCCAACCTTGTCTGACAAATCTGGATTTGATGATGTCGGTGTGTGTATTAAAGTTTCTTCCCTTGTGTCTCAGGCCGATGTGAGGTCACTGTGTAAAAAGACGAGTTGGTCAGAGAGAAGAATTCAGGTCTGGTTCAGGAGGAGGAGGAACCAGGAGAGACCGGGGCTTCGGAAGAGGTTCTGCGAGGCCAGGTGTGTGTATGTGTGATGTTATGTGTGATTGCACAACGATATAAGTGTGAGTGTACATATGTGACATTATTGTTCTCCTCTGTCAACAGTTGGAGATGTGTATTTTATTTTTTTGCATTTGTCGGCGGAGTTCTCGCTCTGCATGATGTAAGTAGTTTGTCCTTTTTACTGAGTTTATTTCTCGTGTTATACATTGTTTCTGTTTCATGAAGTGATTGGTTTGCTGCTAAGGGAGATTTCTCTCTCTGTATTTTGTCTTTATCTCTTTTACTTTTCTCCTTTGCCTCCTTATTTTGGTGCACTACTGATTTCATGAGGGTTTTCCTCATGCTCGGTTACTCCACCACTGCTTCAGCCTTACATTCCTCTCCCTCTGTTTTTGTTCTCTGCAGAAACCTTGGCTTTATAATCTGAAGGAGGTTTGGGCAGGTTTCCCCAAACAGGTAAGTATTATCCAGTGCTATTAGGATGTATTATATAATATTATGGTACTACACATTTACATGTATGTGCTTCATGTGTCCATGCAGTCCATGCTGCCGTCTCAGTACTGGTATTACCTCCTGGAAATGGGCTTCTACCTGTCTCTGCTCCTCAGCCTCACATTTGATGTGAAGCGGAAAGTAAGTGAGCACGGATGGAAAAGTCTAATCGAGGTCAACTGGACTATAGATACGTGAAAATGTTTCACCTATCATTTAATAAGCCATCTTCAGGTCTGAATGACTGGTGGGCCCAAGTATTTAACTTTTTAAATATTCTTATTCAGTGTTCACAAAGTTTATCAGGAACTATAAAGTGTCTTGGTGTCATATGCGTTTTAACATGTCATATGTATGTGTGCAGGACTTCAGAGAGCAGGTGATTCATCATTTAGCCACTCTGACTCTTCTGAGTTTCTCCTGGATTTCCAACTACATCCGTGTCGGGACCCTCGTGATGGCAGTTCATGACTCTGCTGACATTCTGCTGGAGGTCAGTGCTGTTCTTACATCAGAGCATGTGCAAGATAATCTGTCTAATAACTGTTGGCTGATGGTGTATGAGCCAACATCGAATTCTCCCAGAATCATATAAAATTAATTTTACTCACACAGAGCAAAGCTGTTTTACATCTTTTAAAAAACGAACTAACTTCAAAGACTAAAATGTAGCTTTAATAAAGTTAGTTGTTTAATGTAAATGCTCAAATGAAAGTACAGATGCTTCATACGGTATATGACCTTAAGTCTACAGGTGTAACTGACGTACAGTATGTGTAGACAGTAAAATAGTCTGTTTAGTCACTGGAGCAAGGTTTAAAACAGGTTTAAAGTTAAAGTTCCCCTCTGGCCTGTCCCTTCCTTCAACGTAAACATGAGAGTAAATATTTTTACAACAGTAAAGGAGGATGCCCATATGATTACAGCTCTACATCAGCAGCACAGTAGAGCTCAAATATAGGTAGAACCTGGTTCCTAGATAAAGAAGTTACGTGAGGAAGAGGGGAATTTTTGTTATTAGTTTAAATGATTGATTTAATTCTTAAATTTAACATGTCACTATTTATAATGAATGTCTCTTGAGGGCAGCAAAAACTCTTTTTCTATTATTAAATAACATATGTTACATAACATAAATCACATTAACAAAGGTTAACAAAAACTGATGGGCCAGTCAAGATCAACAAAAGAAGGGAAGCCACACATACAAAAGGTTGTCGAATGTGATGTCCTCCCTCTGAACTAAACCAACATCCGATCTGAACCCAAGTAGGACTGCAGCAGAGATAAAAGAAAGGGTCAATGTTCCCGTCCCCTCTTTATTAGTTTTGAGATACATGACACACCTGAGGGAAGAAGACAGAACAAGAGTCAAGGATTATTCCCTCTTTCAACCAGCAGGAGACAAAGAAAGCTGGGCTCGTGTTACTGCATTTTAATTTGTATTGATTCATTTGAAGAGTTATGTAATGTATGTAGATATTACAATTTCCATATTATATGAGGATTATCATTATATACAAACAAAAAAGGAAACAGATAATTTAACTGCTGTAACTCATTGACTGGCTACTTTAAAAACAAAGCAAACTGAACTTGATTCTATTCCTTGTTTTTGTGTCACAGGGTGCAAAAGTATTCAACTATGCCAAGTGGCACCAGACTGCGAACGCCATGTTTGTAGTCTTCACTGTTCTTTTTATGACTTCAAGACTTGTCATTTTCCCTTTCTGGTAAGTGTGTGAAATAAACAGGATTGCGACTTTGGTATTTAGTTTGAAGATGATACATGTGAGTGTTTTCTCCAGGCTGATCCACTGCACATGGGTGTACCCTGTGGAGCAGTTCCCTCCCTTCTTTGGCTACTACTTCTTCAACGTCATGCTGGTGGTTCTGCAGATGCTGCACCTCTACTGGGCTTTTCTCATTTCACGAATGGTTTACAAGTTTATTTTCACCAAGGTGTGTTTACTGGTATTTCTACTGAAACTGTGGCAAATCTACAAGTTGCACGTCCTCTCACTCTTTGGTTCACACTCATTTTCCACGTCTTGTTCTGCAGCTGGAGGGCGACGACAGGAGTGATGAAGAGGAGGATGACAGTGACTCGCAGAGGGAAACAAAGCACAGACTGAGTCCCATTAATGGCACTGGAGCCAGAGACCGAGCCAGTGGCCACTGACACATAGGGACAGACAGACAAAGGAAAGTCGACTCATGGACATATTCAGTCTGGATTGCAGCTTTTAGAACCTAATTGCATATTTTAAAGAACAGTAAATGTATTTGAGCACAGAATATTGTATTTATAGGAACTGTGAAGGATTATACATAAACTCACTGGACGCTGCATGGTCTCTGAATTCACTCACTTCACACTTCAAGTCATGTCTGGTTACATTCATGTATGTTCACAGTGTGTAAGACTGAGCGTCCACGGTTTCTTGCATCATGATAATGAGAAGCAGTGGTGGAAACTAAGTACATTACTGTACTCAAAGGTCCGGTGTGTATGATTTAAGGGAATCTGTTGGTAATATTCATAATTATGTTTAAATTTGTGTATAATTACATGATCATCTTATCATAGTGTTTTGTTGCCTTGGAATGAGCCCTTTAAATCTACGTTAGGAGCAGCTCCTCTTCCATGGAGGCCACCTTCATGTTTCTACAGCAGCCGAGAAAAGACAAACCAAACACTTCCTCTTCCTCCGAACTTAAGTACAATTTCTGTACTTTCTTTTGAGCATTTCTGTTTGTACAGTTTTGGACACAAGATGCAGAATACAGTCTTGAGATTTACTGGTTTATTAGATGTGGTGGTGTGGCAGGAGTCCAGGCCAGGATGGTTTTTAATGTAGAGCTGGACTAAGTGGACAAGGACAGAGGAATCAAAAAGGTGATCAGAACATGGACTTGATGTGACAAAGGCATGTAAGGCCACAAACTCCAATACTGAACCTGGAACACAACTCAGGGCTGGAACAAACAAACACGTGAAGGTGGCCTAGAAGTGAATACCACAAGGTAGACTAAATATTTCTTTGTATGAATGTTTATGGGTATGGGTATTGTTTAATAGCCACTGTTTAAATGTATCTTTTTATCCATTTAGGATAATGCTCCTTAAATTGACCCTACTATTTCTGACATAGTTATTCTTGCAGGTAAATATCATACTCATTGTTGCAAATGGAGAAATAATAGGCCCTTCCTTACCTGTTTTATCAATCAATATCTTTTTTTTTTAAATCATAAAATAGCCTGAAACATTTGCATGTATTTCTACTTTCCTATTGGTTATAGATCTATTTTCATAATATCACCTGTGTCTTTTTCACTGTGTTTACAACTATTTTTTTTGCAAATGTGTCTAAATATGATTCAATTTAATTGAATTCAATTTATATTTATCAAACCTTAGACCTAGACCTTAAGTCTCCTGAATTATACATCATCAGCTGAAAGACAGTGAGATTTACCATCAACATTTATTTACATATGTACATAAACACAGTGAAATTAGTCGATAACTCCTAAAGTGACACATTTTCCATCACACAACAGAAACATGACCCTCAGCTATATGTTGTACTCGCGCGCCCTCTCGCGAGAACTGAGAGAAGTTGGAACGTGACTTGACTTGTTACCATAGAAACCCCTACACCAACTATGCGCAGCTTCACGTGTATCGTTAGTACACAGATAGTTAAAGTACATTAGTCTTATAGTATTGCAGTATAGTAGTATAGCACAGTATTACAGTCAGGATGGCTGAGGAGAAAGTATTTAGGGCCGCTGTGAAAGTAGGAAACTGGACCGAGGATCTGCTGCTGGAAGAGGTTTGTTTAAAAATGTTACGAGAGAAAATAAGATGAGAAAAAAACCTCCTGTTAGCATCACAACTTATTTTACTGCACTGATTTAAACATTAGCAGGTTGTTCACATGTGTTTACACTTGTTCTGCAGATAATGACTGAAAGTCTACCCATTGTTATAAAGTGAATTTAACCTCAGTTGTATTTTTACCTTCCTTTTACTAGAGTTTACCAGTGTGTGTGTGTGTGAGAGAGAGAGAGAGAAAATATAACTTATGATGATACAATAACCTTATTAATTCCTTTACCTATCCATCTCAGCTTCTTTGTATCAAATACAGTATCGTGTACAGTATCTAGATGTCTTATGTATAATTTAATTCAACATTCCCTGAAATTAATTGTGGCATACTTTGTATCTTCAATCACTTACAGCAGGTAAAATACATTTTGTGGGTTTAAACTTTATAGGTACAGGTATTTAAAAAAACGCAAGTACAAACTAAGGCTCTATGGATGTTTTAGTGTTCAATGTTTTTAGTGACAAGAGACAGAGGGCAAAACTTTGGTTTAGTTTTGTTCTTCAGCTGTTTTTGTTTAACCAGCAGTTGTGAGTTTGTGAGCATATAATAACACTCATTGTAAATGTTTTCCAGGCTGCAAAGAAAGAGTTTCTGGAGAAAGAGGAAAGAGGCGAGCATAGTTTCCAAAAAAAAGACTTGATCAGAGAGAATCTTCTCAGACCGGTAAATTGAGTTTAACATAATCAAGAACACCATTAACATCAGCAGTAATATCACACTGATGACGGGGATGGTTAATGATAATGATGAGGGTGTTTGTTTATGTGCGCAGGTGAATCTCTCTATGACAAATGATGGACAGTTGCACTTTGGGGACGTTGTTATGTTGGTGAACGTGGGAGGAGAAAACAGAGAGTGCAGCGCAGTGAGCGTTAATGCTGACATTGACAGTTTGATAAAGATTCCTTCCCCTGGCATTAAGAGCCCCTGTGGAGTGAGTGCAGGAAGAGGGATCCTGCCCTGTGCGCGCACTGCCTTCATCATCACCAGGTACACACACACACACACACACACACACACACAACTACATCAACATACATTTCGGCATAAAAATCTCAGATGTAAAGTTGTAACACTGTTTGTGTGACTGCAGTGTAGATGGCAGCCCTGAAGGATCCACTCTGCTTTATGACCAAAGTTTTGCCCTGACAACTACAAATGGCTTTGCCAGAGGAGTAAGTGAACTTCAATGAAGTTATACAAGAACAAATATTAATAATATTAATAATATTATTATACTGTAATACATAATAAAGATAATAAACGTTTTCATGGACAAGCTAGAACAGTTTTTATATTTAATGATTTTCTGATCATGAAATGTGGTTATTATATTTTTGAATACTTCAGAAGAAACATAAATCATCTTCACTTCTTGAGTGTGTTTTATATTCTCCTTTCCTCAGCTTTACCTGACAAGTGATCGACAAAGTTTCCAAAAGGTAGATGATGTTTTAAAATTAATTATTTACTTCAGAGTATAATTTCAGAGAATGTTTAACAAAGTGGAAATGCATAAAAACCTTACAAACATATTGAAATCTAGATACAGCAGTCATGTTTGCCTCTTTTTATTAGATCTACCAAAGTCTATCTTATATTGTTGTGTCAGTGTGCAAAGATGTCACGTCTGCAAGAGGTTAACTTGGTGGACGAGGGTTCCTTCCTGTCATGTTGGAAGATAGTGCACTTTGACCCACAGGAGAGGCTTGAATACGAGGGGCAGCCTGTTCCTGTAAGTCTCAACTGTAGTGTTACGATTCACTGTTGCAATGTCAGCTTGTGCAATAATAAATTTTGTTTTCTTTGTGGCAGGCTGATGTGAAGGTGCTGATCGTTCACTGCAAGACAAACCAGGCTCTTGCTGTTCTGGGTAATCACATTCTTTGGTATGTTTATGTTTTCAAAAGAACTCCACACAAAAGAATATATGTTAAATACGATATAAAGGCTTTTGATGTGTGCAGCGTTCATGTGACCAAAATGTGTTGGATATCAAATCGGAGGTCCGCAAAAAATGGCACAAATAATATCTAACTATGTAAAATACAAAAAAAGCAATATCAGGTCACTGTAACAGAAGTGACATGGGTCACAGTGACCTTATATTCCAATTAAACGATAAGATTCGCCTTCAAGGCTAGCTTACATTGACAGTATCAAACTGCAGTCATCTGTTCTCTGCCTGTTGCTGTCAAAAGCTGAGGGCTTATAACAATATGGCAGCCAGGGGTTGTGTAACAACACGTGCACGCCTGCTGTCCTTCTTGTCAGGTTGACACTTGTTTTCTTGCAGGACCATATTTCACAAAGAGTACGAGGTGACAGCTCACACCTTCTTGGACTCCCACAAAGCTGAGGAGGACAAAAACCACTGGATACTCTGCACCTCCAAGCCAGCAGGAGCCAGCCCCGTGTCTCTCAACCACCCAGAGTCAGCGGGTGACAATGAGGAGCTCACGCAGGGGAACACGGACGGAATCTAATGCAATCCACTCTAGATTGTTTTTTTCCCCCTTCTTTTTGGATCAAAGATTTTTTTATTTTGTGTAAACTGGACTCATGACACTTGTGAACCAGACCAACAGGAAACACTTTTGATTCCTTTGATTGATTGATTTTTATTATTGTGTCATGCACATTATTTGCCCAGCTTGAAAGAGGCTGACAATCGCCATTGTTTAGAAATAAGTACAAACAAAAGAGTATTAATAAAATCCAGAAACCACAGTAGCAGCATCATTCTTCCTAAAAAAGTGGTCAACTAGTATTGTATTGTAAGTATTGAATTTAAAAACATTCTGTTCTGTCATCATCAGCGCACCAGAACATTTCTGTATAACATTTCATGTAATATAGATATTATTCACTCATCAACATGAGGTCAGATTTTTTTGTGGAAGATATTTATGAGATAAGGGTACAAAATGTATTAAGTTGTGACATACACCTGCTTACCTTGGTTACCCCATAATGTAAACCATAGCCTTCCGCCGGGAGCAGATGTCTTTGGGTGGTACCCAACCTTCATTGACCGTTTTGACCCTTAACCACGACACTCTCCAGGTGGCGGGTCGGCAGTGGTGGGCAAATCATTGCCTATCTGCTCCAGGCTTCCAGCTTTCATCCTCTCTTTTGTCCTTGTCCAGCTCATTCAGCTTCCTCCCCCATCCCATAAACAGTATGTTTTTTGCTCCTCTCGTCCAGGCCCAGACCTCAGATGTTAATGAGATATGGGTTCAAAGGTCAGATTTTATTATCTCCTTACCAGAAGGGATGGGAGTAGTCATTTAAATATAACACATGCATGCTCCTTTAACCATGACTATTCATCTCATATGACAGGAAACATGATCTGCGTCCGGGTTCCCCTCTTCTTGTGTGAAGACAATGATCAGGGAAGGTTTAGGTGCCAATGTGCAGGTTTTATCAAATATTAAGGACACTATTTGTGCTAATTATGAATCATGTTTGCAAATTGTGGTGGCACAAATGCGTGATTACTCTATGATCTAAAATGCATCAGTAAATCTATTTTGTAAATCTGCTACATTCTTATATAATTATAGTCATGGTGTTGTTCATACGTCGAAATTTAGTAGGGCAGTTTTTCTTTTCATTTATTGCATAATGTTGTTTTTTCCTTTTTATCCGTAATATCTTTATTCTGTCATGGAAAACGCTGTCAGTAATTATACCGCATGTTTAGGGTGCATTCACGTTTGCAACGTTTTCACAACACTTGGTCAGATCTCTCGCACGCACCTTCAGCGTCATATTTCGGTGTCTCCGGAAGCTTGTCCGAGGGCAGCACTGTAGCAGCAGCCATCGTGGCTTTGAAACAGCACGTCGGCGACTCTTGCTCGCTCAGGATAAACACGCAGCCCTCGGTAAAAACGTCTCTGAACGTTTTGCCGGCACTGAACACAACTCCGGGGCGTTAAGAGTCAGGGGGATATAACAACGCAATAGAGCAGACCAGCGGTTGGTTTGCGAATGTGCAGAGGAGAAGAACCTGCGGAAAGGTACGTTGTCTCAATCACCGTCCGGGGGTGCAGATTATAATGTCCCGTTTAGTCTTTTATTACT